TCGGGCCGCCGGTGGCATGCTCCACCCTAACCATGGGCGTCCTCGCCTCGGCAGTGAAGGTCGAGTTGGCCGCAATTCGGACCGGTGACAGCAAATTCCGGCGTGCGACAGCTTCTTCCGACGTGCGGCGACGGATTCCGATGAGTTCCGGGTAGATCCAAGCCAGTTCCACGGTGGCGCGTCTGCTCCGACAAGGTTTGACAGGTTTACGGGTTAAACTGTATACCGCCTTCAGAACTGTACATATGAGTTTCTCACAGATGGATTTGCAGTGCCCTTTAAAAAGTTCAAGAGCCGAACGAGTTTTACGGGATTTGCTAGACGCCATTTTTTCGAGAAACTATAAACACCTCTTCTTTTTTTTACGGGTTTGACCACTTTAAAGGGTGTGCTAGAAATGCTCCAAGACCTTATAAAACATCCATGCAGACCCAAAAAGTAGTACGCGAGAACATGAAGAAGTTTGGCAAAGGAGGGACCATATCTTTCTGCAGAACTAATTCAGCATCTTTCTCTTGTTGTTTATGCGTCAGATTGTTTGGCAGATGGATGCCTTAATTTGGCCGGTGCGGCTTCATCCATAGTTTAACGCAGTCCAGTGATGAAGTTGAAATAAAAGGATTTTGGTGATGAGCCTCACGCGTCAGCTGGGCTCTACCTCGTTCGCTGCTTGTACCATGAGCATGATACTGCATAGGACAAGAGTCACAACTCACAGGCTTGTCATACTGCAGCTAGCGCTCTGGATCCCTCCATTTTTATATTAAACTTTTTAGATGTGGAGTGGATCCCTCTATTTTGAAGTCATGTTTGTGAGTTGTTCTCGAGTTGTCCTCTTGGACCTTGGCAGCATGAAAGGTTGGTACGTGGTCTCAAGCTAGCTAGCTAGCTATAGCTGACGAGTCATGACACGAGGTGTGCTCCTCCGATCCATCATTGCTTCGCTTGCTACCATGTACACTAGTCTTGATAAGTCAAGATTGAGTTTTTGACTGTCTGGTCGACGACGACACACCCACCGGTCATATGTGCCGTCCTGTACAGGTGTGCGTCCAAGTCAAGCAGGCCTGGAGTGGAACTGTGGAAGACCTGCACTCGGCTGGTGCTGCCCATCTGCGTAGGGTACGGTCACGTACGTACTCCATGGGACACGCTACACCCACTCCGCGCCGTGCCTAACCCGGCCGCTAACCGTGGGTGTGATCAACATGATTTCTTTCTCCAGCTGCATCATAATCTAATCTAATCCCGTGGTCTGAACTGCAAGCGTTCAAGCATCGGTAGTGGTTTTTTCTCCTACGCATGTACGTACGTAGATGTAGTACGAGCGAGCGATCGAGCTTACACGCATATGGGTCAGCGATCGAGAGGGACATGGCGATTAGATTTCCAAAGTTGAGCAAATAGTGCATCACCCATACACAACAGTAGCATTATCATTATTGCTCAAGGGTGACCTACAAGATTCTTTCCTGTGTTCTTACTCAAGCTAGCCAACGCACTGACTTGACCAGCAGATCACAAAACAACTCAACAAGATTTCTCTAGCAGCTTATATACAATCGAGTACCCCGATTCCCAGAAAAAGAAAACTGCCCAATTACTGATAAAATCTCCATATTGATCATACAAATATGATGCTATGATTTCAGTCCCAGCTAGGGTACCAGCTACGTAGCTAGCTAGCTAGTTGTGGTTTCCTCCCTGGGTGTAGATGTAGTCGGTGTGCGCCACCAGCGTCCTCCTCATCAAGCACTCATCATCGTCTCCATCTCCCCCTTTGGCGCCACCGCCGCAACCTTCATCCCCCGCCTCCGCGCTGAGGAAGCTCGCCGCCGCCTCGCCGCTGGCGTCCACCTGCGTTGTTGAGCCAGCAGACGTTAATTCGCCGTCACCTCGCCGCTGGCGTGCAAACATCTCTCATGTCCACACACATTCAGGATGTATAAGTACCTCTCCGCGGTCGTCCTGGGCTGCCTGGTTTCTTGCGGTTGCTCCCACTCTCGCAGCGCGGGAAGAGACGACGAGGAGCAGGAGGAGGAGCAGAGATGGCAACAACAGATAGGTGTGCGGCCGAGGTGATGCCGCCATGTGCGTACCTTGCTGCTTCCTTCTCTTCGTTTGAG